CTGTTGAATGAGTAGCCTCTAATTTTTGAATCTCCTCTTGATCAAAATATTCTCTCACAGTTTTATTTTTAAATTCTAACCCTTTATCGGAGAATATCCTATGAGGTTTCATAGGCATTTGACCAATTAGTTGTTTAAATGCATCTAACATATCCTTTGAACCCTTTGATTTAACTGGGACACCAAAGAGTCGTTTGGAGAGAACATCAACTCCTAGGAGAATATACTTATTTCCTTTGTTATGTCTAGAGAGAGCCTGCATGTCAGCTAAATCTACTTGTACATCTGTCATAAAACCTGCCGCTATAGTTTTACTTCTGGGAAAATGTATTCTTTTTGGACGCAAAAGAGTATACGTCCTATGTCCTTCCAAATAGTCTTGCACAACTTTTCTAGGTAACTTTTTAATAACTTTTCGTGCCTCATACCATAACCTATCAACTCCAGAAAAGGCAGCAGGTGAATCTGGATTATTGTAAAGTCGATGTAGTAGTTGTGTGGGGTCTGCCATTTTTACCAAAGTGTTGGTTTGAATCTTTTTATACCAGCTTCTTTACGTTTAGCTTTTATAAGTCTTAGCATCCATTCTCTACCGGCTTTTGCTGATTGTATTTTTGTGACAGGTTTTACTTTTTTCAGGGCAATTAGAGGACTTTCGTCTGGACCTTCCCATTTTCTTTTTAATTTTAGACGTCTTCGAATATCATCGTCCTTACGAGTTTTAACTAGCGCTGATTGATCAATTGGAACCCTTTGCTCTCTAATATTTAATTTTCTTTCTAAATATTCCCTTCTTTTCTGTTCACGTTTTAATTTTGCTTCATGGTGTTCATCATATCCTTTCTTCCATCTCTTTGTACCTTCAAACTCTTCTGACTGTCCCCTTTTTGTAATTTGTCTAGTTGGAGGAGAGTCAGATACAAGGGGAGCATCAAGACCTTCAGGAATAGTTGGGATGGGAGGAGATGGAGGAAAATCATCATCAACAGGAGCATTATATTCAGGGGTATAAGGAATTCTCCAATTTTTCAACATCTTTTTCCTTTCTAAATTCTGCTTTCTACTCCTAGCCTTTTCAGAAAGTTTCATATACTCATCTCTTCTCTCATTTTTGTAATTACTCAAATGTCGTCTCTTATTTTGTCCATAATCATCCTCCTCAATTTTTCTCTTGATTTTTTGTCTAAGTGTAGGAGGAGTGGGGGAAATTCCGCTCCTTAATAATTTTCTACCTCTGGGATGTACTTGCTCATTTGGAGAATTTGACAAAGGAGGAACAATATTATATGATAAGGCTGGCGGCTCTTGTGGGTACGCTGAATAAGAAAAATCATCGCTCATCCATAAATCATCGTTATCGTCTGTAATATTTGTTGCGGGTCTAATAACATCTCTATTCATAATTGCTCCTTTGGGGTTAGCTACCATTTCAACTCTAACAGGTTTATTCTCACTTTCATTCCTTAGTTTAAGATATCGTCTAAGTTCTTGGTTATAATGAATATTTTTGGCAGAGAGGTTTTCTTTTTTACTTTTAGCATTCTCCACCGCTCTCTTTGTGAAATCTAAATTTGGGTCCCCATAATTATTTGAAGTAAGCCCTCTATAAATCTCTTCTGGAACAAGAATTAATTTTTTTGCCATTTATGATTGATTTTAATTATTTTGATAGGCTTTTATATTAATTGCTCGAGCTAGTTCCATTAGAATAGGAGTGAGGAGAGCAGCAAATACTCCTACTCCTTCACCTTTTTGCCTCAAAACTTTTCTTGCTCCCCGTTCACTCCTAGCACGACTCAATTTACGAATAAATTCTGCATATGGTAATAAACGGTTCTTTTGACGAGTGTTAAGATTAAAACGCGATTTTACAATATTCAAACAAATTTCAACAATGGATAACAACTGACTAGTATCAGCCTTCCTTAAAAGTTTTTTATATCTCCTTTCGGATTTTGTAAGCGCTAAAGAGCGTAAAAAATCTTTATTCTCACAAATTAATTGACTAAACATTTTTGGAAATGAAAATTATCTTCTCTTCGTCGTCCTTAAATATACGGGTACGGAGTCTAAGCGCAGTGTCTGAGGATGCATGCAAATCGATGAGCAAATATCCATAAGGCTCATTAGTTGCCTGTTTATACGCATCAAGGAAATAGTCCAACTGACGAGGAAATAGTTGTACTCCAATATTTCTCACAGATAGTGCAGAATTCGGTGACCTCATCAAGACAATATATTGGGCATTTTGACGGGCGACCTTAATCTTTTTCTCAAATAGGTTTTGGGTAACAAAAACAACTGCAAAATTTTGATGGTGGGACTTTTTAGTGAATAATTCTGACAAATACTTTTCATCTATAGACAGGAGCAAATCGTCTAGAATTAGGAGCAAAGGTTTTGAATAGCTTTTTATTAGCTCCTCTGGGGGAACTCCTGCATATACATTAACTCCTGACTTTTGAAGAATGGGGATATTATCGTTCATCTCCCCAAAACAATAAAGTACACTTTTTGGAGGGGGATCGATCAAATCTTGGGAGTCTGCTATAAATTTTAATAGGAATGAGCTCTTCCCACTAGAGCTTGGACCAGACAAAATCATACCAAAAGGTAATTTAAAATACAAATCTTTATTAGTAAATGATTGCGATTCCATTATTAAAAAATATTTACGTTAAAAAACTAAAGTTTATATAGGAACATTTTTATCATCCTTTTTCTCTAACTCTTCAATCTTCTTCGGCGATGAAGTAAATCCGGTTGTAGCTGCCATTAAACTATCATAAAATTCTTGGAGCTCCTTCTCAAACTCTACATTATCAGGAGGAGTATCAGGACGAGAGGTATTGGAAATAACATTTGGACAATCAGCTGGTGGTACAAGAGGAGTAGGGGAAATTTGAGAAGACAAATTATTAGTGGGAGCAGTTGTAGGAGGTAATTCATCCAATTTCCTTTTCCCTTTCTTTGGATTTTGATGGATAATCTGTTGTTGTTGTACTCCATGAGGGACATTGAAAACTCTTCCCTTATTTTTGATTTTGAAAAAGCAATGAGTAGGTAAATCATAAACTGTATCGAACGGAACAAATCGAGTACCTGATCCAATTCGTGTACAGTAGATGGTAATCCCTTCCTTAGTCACAATAAAGTCAATTTCCACTTCAGTGCTCTTACACTCCTTACATCTCCCTGATTGATCATAAGGAATAAATCGTGGAGTGGTAAGTCGGGAACTTAGGACGGTAATTCCACTCGAAGAGATATGGAAATCAACTTCAGGGAGGATTTGGGAAAACAAATTTTGGCCCATTTTAAAATAATGATACTAGAATCCAGAATTTCCACCCTTTTATACCTGGATTTTCAGTGGATTACACCAAAACGTGCACGCCCCCTAAAAAACACAAACATCCCCAGAGCACGCACATACCTAAAATGCTTTGGTTTTAATAAAAATTAAAAATTTGCATTTTCTTTTTCCAAAATTTGCATTTTTCTCCCTAAAATCTAGTACTTCATAAGTTTAAAATTGTACAAGTTTTTTAATAAAATTATTGATTAATAAGGTTGTAAGTACATGATTACTACTTATAGGATTATTAACAGACAAGCAAGATTTTATTGCCAGCCGCATGTTTTAAAATTACCCACCCCTCTTTTGGGTTTTTCATTCTCTCCCCACGACACTGCCCACTTCCCTTTGATCTTTGCCGATGCACTCTCCCTTTTATCGGACCCCTCCTTCCCCACGACAGTGTCCACTCCCTTTGATCTTTACCGCTGCATTCCCTCTCCCTTTTGGTTTTTGTCGGACCCCTCCACCACTTGACGGGTAGTGGATTAGTAAAAAGCCACGACACCGACTGTGGGTTAACTACTTACATATATTTTTTGGAAGAATTTAGAATAATAATTAGGGTTGCCGTCTCGATTCGAGCCGACATTCAGTGCATTTTTTCGAGCTTGATTTTTTCGATTTGATTCATTTTCTTTTTATCTTATAATCTTTTATTAAAAAATATATCTCAAAAGATCTTGCGAGCCGAGGCTTGATTAACAAATATTTTTGTCAATCAAAACACAATTTTTAATAAAAATATTTCTTCTAATTTTTTATATTTTTGGCATCTTAAGTGGTTGATTGCTTTTTTATTTATTCTAATCACTTAAAAGTGGGTTTTAGGTTATTTTTTGCTCAAAAGATGTTCTTAAAAACTTTGAAATAGTGCAAAATACTTTTACATTTTTGTTTAAATAAAAAATTTTTAATTGACTTTTTTTTTAATTTAGTAATTAAACAATGATTGTTTGCATTTTAATTAATTATTTGTAATGAAATTTTATGTTTGCAAATCAAAATTTTCTGTTTTTTAAAATTTTTTCTCCGACAACACATTCTTCGACAATTCCAGATTTTTACAGAATTATAAGGTTTTCTTGAAAAGGAAAAAAAGGAAAAAACACTATATATGTATGTCTATTGTTGAAGGAAAAATTTGCAAGTATTAAGTGTTTATTTACTAAAAATATTAATATACATATATCTGGTTTTTTAACAATAATTGTTTTGATCAAACAATTACTTTTATTTATTTTTGTCTGATACCTTTAAAAATACAAGGGTAGATTTTTTTTGAAGAAATATTGTATCAAGTGAAATTATTATGTAGGTGAAAAGAGGAGACGATTTGTGAAATATCTCGACTTAGCTTTTTAATAAAGTATTACACATCGGAAATTAAAAAGTGAAAAACCTTAAAAATCTTTTCAAAACATGAAGAAAAAATATTTTTAATTTATCTTTTGTCAAATATTTCTTCCAAGAAGGATAAAAAAATCAAAAAAATATTTGTGCCTCATTGTTAATAATTTTTTGTTTGCACAACTTTTCACTAAAAGTTAAAATGAACACATTAAGAACTTGGCCCTTGTTCTCAGCTCTTAAAAAAGATTTTCTTTTCTTTTTTATTTTTTGGGGCGGATTTAGAAGGGGATATACTATGGATATAAAGAGACAAGTAAAATATTCTTAAAATCATTCACAATCAGCTCCAAACAACAAAAAACTTTTACAAAAAAATTTCCTCAGTCCTCAAACAATTTTAAAAAATGCAATCCAAAATTAAAAATAATTTCCTACCCTTACTTTTATTTTCAATTGTGGTTTGTGTTGTGTTAATGAGTGGACAAACCGAGGCTTATGGATGGTGGAACCCGTGGTCCTATTATGGTGGATATGGAGGATATGGAGGTTATTATGGGAGTTATGGTAAGTTAGGAGAGAATTAAAAGAGAATAATCTTCAAAATTAATTTCTAAAATTTTTGGGGTCTACCAAATTTTCCTTATCAAATTTTCTTTAATTTATATCAATTCATCATCTTTAATAATAAAATATTAAAATTAAATATTGGGGATTTAATAGAATATGTACATTAGATAATAAGCTTAGTAACTCTTTGAACTTTTAAATAATAGCCTGCCCGATTTACAATTAAAATTTAAAGGATGGCCATACTATGGATATGGGGGATATGGTGGAATATGGAAACGTTCGGCTGGGTTTGGATTAGAAACAGAAAAATCTCCAAATTGACGATGACAAACCAGTAGAATTGATAAAATTACTATACTTGTGGTCTAAATTATGGAATAATTTCTGTAGATTTTCAATCAATAAAAATTTCCAAAAATATTTTGACAATTTTTATTTTAAATTAAATTTTAATATTTAACAAAAAAACATAAAATTGATGAGATCAAATAAAATAGATATGGTGTAAAGAAATAAAATAAAATATGTTTTTTAAAGTAGAAATCACAATTATTTTTACGAAGAGATTGAAATTAAAAAGAAAAAAATAAAGATATGTTTTATTTAGGGTTGTCGGTTCTGGACTGAACCGAATCGAAGAACCGATGATTTTTCGGTTCGGATATAGGTTTTCCAACAAATCACTTATACCCACAGCTAATCTTTAATAACTCCTAACCCCCACAAAAATTTTCTGTTCGGTTCCGGGTAACAAAAATTTTCGGTTCGGTTCTTCGACTCGGTTCCGGATATCAGAATATTTTCCATGAACCGACAACCCTAGTTGTATTTGTTTAAATTATCAAAATATCATCTTATAAGAGAACATCCTGATCGTCCAGAAATCGAATTTGTGTACTTTCTGTACTACAACCACCACTTATGCCATTGTTATTATTATTGTGTAATAAAGTTATAGAACTTTTATGAAGTGTAGATTTTCGAGAAAAGGGCCAATTGAAAGGAGAAAGTGTTGTGGAGAAAGTGTTGCCAGAAGAAAAACTGAAAAATAAATTTTGAATTAAATTTTAAAAATTAATTTTCTACTAACCGAAAAGGAGGGGAAGGAGTCATTGGTCTACTAGCTAAAGATAATTTAGCTTCAGATAATCTAGATCTACTCCGAATATTGAAAGTTGAAGCTTTCCATCCTTTCCCAGCAATTAATTGTCTAATACATTCAATTAAAGATTTAAGAGTTGAGCGGTATTGTGAAGATATTAATGGATAGACAATGAAACAAGTGTTGCAATTAATTAAAGATAATAAATCTAAAAGTTCTCCAAGTGATAAATAAACAAATTGGTGGATATCATTAGGAAAGAGACCATTAAGTATAGCCAAGATTCCTTTAAAAATAAATTTTTATTAATGTTACATTATATATCTAAATTGAAAAAATTCTAGTCTAAGTCTAGTCTAAGTCTAAAATTCTAGTCTAAATTCGGGTACACACCAACCCACCGCGAGCTCAACCTACTGCCGAGGCTATAACTTCGTTCAAAATTGTCGAATCTGAGAAAACTTGGTATGGTTGGATTCAGCTTATCGAGGCGTATCGAACCATACCAAGAGGTCCCTGATTCGACAATTCTGAAGGAAGTTATAGCCTCTAAATTCTAGTCTTGATTTGGACAAGAATTTAATTTGACTACCAACATTTATCGATATATAATTTTTGATTTTTAACATAATAATTGAATTAATATTAAAATAAAATTTTCTAAAAATTCCCAAAATTTCCCAAATCTCTCTCTCCCTCAAATGACTCCTAATTTAATATTTTAATAATTTAATTTTAAAAATTAACACACCTTGTGGAAATTCAGTACTGAAGAAAACAGTAAGTAATATCAACTAAAATAAGAAAGAATAAATTAAAAATTTAAAAAATAAAAATTACAAGTATTTTAGTTGTTCTATCAGATTGCGCTGAATGCCTTCTATAAGCTAATGTTGCCCCCGAACACATTCCTTTCCTCTTTCGTCTGTTTTTCTCCAATTCATATAAAAGTGCAAGGGTAAAAAGGAGAAGAAGAATGCATGGAATTACCTAATTAAATTAAATTTTTAGAAGTTATTGGACATTTTTTGTGGACTAATTACGAAATTGGACTAAATTTCGTGGACTAAATTGCGAAATTTAATTTTAGAAATTATTTGACAATTTATTTTTTTATTATGATTATTTTTAAACAAACATCATTATTTTATTATTATTTATTTAAAATTTTAATTACGTAAAAGATTAATTCTCTTTTATTTTTATGTCAAATTAATTAACTATAGTTTAATCCCCAAATAAACACGTCAAAAACGCTTCATTTTTTAAAAATCTTTTTTTTTTCAAAATTCAATAATAAAATAATTAATTAATCGTGTATTTACGTATATTTAGGTATTTTTATTTAGTAATTTGTTTATATATTAAATTAATCTTTAAAAATTAATTTTTTTTTAATTTTTAAAAGAAAAAAATTGCTTTTTTAAAATTAAATTTAGATAAAGAAAAATTTAGATTAGTTATGCTCGGGAGAAGAAAAAACCCGGGAATCGGTAAACGGGAGTCGGGAACGGGAGGCCAAAAATTCGGGAAATTTTTCCAAGCCGGGAGTCGAAATAAAGAAAAAATTGGGAGGTATTTTTGTATTTGTTTTCCCCCAAAATTAAATAAATTTAAAAAAATAAAAAATAAGAGAGGAGATTAAATTAATTAAATTTTCTTCTTAAATTATAATTTTTATTTTTAAAAATTATTTTTAAGATAATAATTATGTATATATTTTTCAATTTTAATTAAAAATTACATCATTATTATTTAAATATTTGTTTATATATTTTTTAAAAATTTTATTTTTATATTTTATCTCACGTATTTCAAAGTACAAATTTAATATAAGATTTATATTTAATTGGTGTTTGGCATTAAAGTGTTAAAAATTAAAAAAAAAAAGTTAAAGGCAAACAAATTTTAATTCCGAAAAATTAATGTCAGAAAATTAGAAAAGTGTGTAAAACGAAAACATGTTTTTTATGAATTTTTAAAAAAATATAGGTATTTGTTTTTTTGTTTTTGTTTATTGGTTGTGCATATATTAATCAGTAAATGTTAAAAAAGGAAAAAATAAAATTTAATTTTAGAATTTAAAAATAATTTAAATAAATTAAATACAAGAAAATAAGAAATTGTTTTTTAATTTTAATTTTAATTAATTATTTACCGAAAATTTTTTTTTGTTTTTGACAGTTTATTTATTTCCTTTTCTAATTTAACAGATGAATAAACAATTAATGGACTGGAAATTGAGGGGAATCCTAATTTTGGTCAAAAAATGGATTTTTTAAATTTATTTTTAATTTATTTTTAATTTAAAAAAGTAATTATTATTAAATTGAATTTTTTGGAAAGGCCAAAATTAATTTTTAATTTCTAGACAAAAAATATTTAAGCATAATTTTGTATTTATAACATATTATTTTTACATTAATTCTAATTTTTTAAATTTCCGTTTTTAAAATTCTATTTCAACTAAAAAATTATTTTTTTACCTTAAAAATAATTCCAGTCATCCACAAATTTAATTTAAAGAAAAAACAAGTATCAAGCCTTTTAAATTCTGCCAATCCAACCTTTAAATTAATTTAAAAATTAAAAAAAATAATTTTTAAAAAAATCCCAACAGTGTAAAGTGTTATATTCTCTCCATTTTTAACATTTTTAGCAACAACAGGAATTATTGAATGAATTAAAAATGTTGGAATACACAAAATAATTGTGAAGGCAGCAACGAGGAGAAAAACGGGGCTAAAAATAAAAATATTTTTTGAAGAATTTTTAAAAAATATTTTTAAAGGAGAAACATACAAGGCAATATTTTCGTGATTCCAAAGAGATCCAATCTGTTTTAAAGTTTTATATCGAATAAAAGCTGTAGCTACAGACAAATATAAAGTAATTGTATGTAGAGCTTTAAACAATTTATTTAAATAAAACTATTTTCTAACCCCTACATACCTATACTACAAACAACGTGGGCCAAAAGAAAAATAATCCAAATAAAATTATATCCAACGGGAGGTTCTTCTGGATTCACTGCAAAACCAAATCTTACAATAAAAACTGTGTAGGAAAACATTGTACAAATGTCACAAATTGCAATTATTGAAAGCTAAGAAATAAAATAATATTTTAATTAATTAAAAAAATTTTTGTATTGAGAAAATTGACAGAAAAAATTTGTTTCGTTTAAAATCAAAATTAAACATGATTCAATATGTCCCAAAAAATGTTTTTAAGGATTAAAAATTTTTGAAGTTAAAAATAAAAATATATAGATACGAAATAGTAGGTATTCTTTAATTTTAAAAAATTTAACAGCAATTTAAAACGTAGTATTTAAAATTGTTAAGAATTTAAAAATATTTTTAAAATCAATTACAAAGACGTTCGTTTGTCCACATACATATAAATTATACTAATTAATTTCATTTTTCAATTTAACTAATTAAAAATTAATTTCTCTCACCAATCTATTAACGGCGCATTTTTGCATAGCCGGCCTGCTTAAAACAAAGATATGGACAACATTTGCTAAAGAACCAAAAACACAAATAAATAGACCAACATAGCAATGAATTTGATTATATAAACTATTTAAATTTAAAAATAATTTTTAAAAAATTTTTAGTAAATTAATTAATTAATTTTTTTAATATTTATCTTGTATCTCTCATATTTAGAAAGAATTTAAAATTTAAATTTTATCCAAAAATTCTGTCTACATTTTTAGACAATTTTCTAAAAATTTACTATTTACTTTGAAATAAAATAGGTATATTTAAAAAATTATTTCCTTTCCATTTTTAAAAGTTAAAAAGAATCAAATTTACAAAACAAACAAAAAAAGTCTTTCAAAATTTCTACTTTTATGTGAAAATAATTTTAAACTTTTTTTAAAAATATTGTAAATGTCTAAAAAATAAAAAAATTAATTTTTGTAAACAATTTTTTAATTAATTAAAAATAATGGGAAAATTAATAAAAATAAATTTAATTTTTTTAAATTAATTAAAAAAAGTTTTTCTAAAAATAGAGGAAATAAAAACAAATTTAGAGAAAATATTATTACAAAAATAGAAAATGTGTATGTTGCAAAAAATACTTTTTTTAAATAATTGGTTAAATTATTATTTAAAAAATAATAATTATAAGAAATATTTTGGAAATAAAAATTCTAAAATTATATAGAAAATAAATTTTTAAAAATTAAGATTTCGTCATTAATATAATTAGGTAATAATTATTCTTAGACTAAAGAATATTTAAAATAAATTTAATATATTTAGGTATAATTTAAATTTAAAAAATTAAGAATAATAGAGTAAAAAGTGGGAGCATGCCAACTTGCCGCATAGCTATAACTTCGTTCAGAATTGTCAAATCCGAAACGCCTTTGAATGATTCGATGTGCCTCGACGAGCTCAAGGTCGTCCCGGATAATTCTAAACTGCGGTAAGTTGGGCTCGGCGGTAAGTTGGGGTTTACCCGTAAAAAGTTTAAATTTTTGTAAATAAGTGAATTTATATTTTAGGTAGACTAATTATTTTTATTATTTTCTAAAATCTCCAAAAACTTACTTTGAAATATTCCAAAGAGTCTCAAGAAATGTAATTGTTGCACTGCTATTTAAATCAAATAGGCTAAGCTCTTCATCACAAATCATTAATTTCATTTTTTAAAAATATTTTAATATTCTTTATTATCTAAAAGTAAAGAAAATATTTTAAATAAAAATTGAGGGAATGGAATTTTTTGGAATTAAAAGATTTTAGTTGGAAATATAATTTAGAAAGGGCATAAAAATGAGTCGTCTAAAACTGCAAAAAGATTAAAATGAATTTTATTTTTTTTCTGTTTTTGAATTTGCTCTTAAAAATGTTAGAAAAAATTTGATTTTTATTAAAACAATTTTTCAGAATTTACGTAAATAAAATATTTAAATTTTTATGAGAAGAATTAGAAAAAGTATTAAAATGAAGTGTAATATGTGAATTAAAAAAATTATTTTCAAAAAAATTTTTAGAAGTTATTAAAAAAATGAATTAAAGTAATAATATAAAGATGTATTAATTTAAAAAAATTATTATTTATTTAATATATCCCCCCCCCCCTCACCCATCTAAATTTTTTTTTGAATAAATTTAATCCTTTTCTAATTAGGTCTGTGCCTTATAGAAAATAAAGTTAGTAGCTAGCTTAGATATTCTTTTACTCATTTAAAAGGAAAAGCTAAAGAAGAAGTGAATAAAAAGGGGCGGGGAAAGGAAAAAGAGAAATTTATTTGAAGGGCGGAATTAAAAGATATGTAATTATTATTATTTTTTAAATTTTAAAATATTTTTGATAGATCAAGTTTGGGTCGAAATTATTCTTAAAGAAGTTCTCAATTATTCATTAAATGAAATTATAGGAAATTAAAACAATTTTTTATTGTTAAAAATTAAAAAGCATTATAATAAATTAAATAAAATTTTATTTAAATATTTTGGATAAAAATAGGCAAAAAATTCTGTACCACAAATTTTTTCAAAAAATTATAGAGTATGATAATTGCTATATTAATGATTTTTAAATAATTAATTTATTTTATGTTATATATAAAAGCGTCAGATTAAAATATAAAAGAATTATATCAATGAAGTCACTGATATACTAATTAAAATAAATTTAATTAACAGATAATTTAGATAAATTTTTTTATTTTTTATTGATAAATGAATTATTACACTATTGGTGAAAAAGAGTTTAGGGAGTTCTACCTTAGAAGCCGGGCTTCGTCGTAGACGTAATTACGAACGATTTAAAGATTACTGCATAGTTTTGGTAATAATGATTACAAAATTTTTTTCCATAATTATAAGATATCCCCCCTGATTATTAAAAGTTGTTTAAAGATATTATGGCAGTATTTAAAGAAAGAAAGTTATTTAATTTTTAGATTTATTTTTTGTTATTATTTCATGGAAGTATAAAAAATTTAGAATGTTTAAAACAATGTTAAATTAAAATTTCATTAATCTGAATTAATATAGAAAAGAGCAAAAAATATTTTAAAAACTAATTTTATTTTTAAAACAGAAAAGGGCAATTTACAAAAAAAGTTTAAAAAATAGTAAATTTTTTGAAAAAAAAGGAAAAATGTTAAACTCTCAGAATTTCTTTATGGTTGAGTAATTATATTTAGCTAATTTTGTTTTTAGAAAGGAAATTGAAGATAAAAAGGTTTTTGCAAGGTATTTTAAATTTTTTAAAGGGAAAAAATTTAAGCTATCAATAATATAAGGTTCTTGCTTGTTTAATAAATAAAATTCTTGTTTCTTAAATAAAATAAAAAATTAAAACATGTTAGTAATTGAAAGAGGAAATTTATTTTTAACTTAATAGTTTAAAAATTTAAAATACTTAACTATTTACTTCTCTTTAGTTTAAAAAATTTTTCAAATTAATGAATTAACATTTAAAATATTTTTTTGATATATTAAAAGGAAATAAATAAAAATTGAAACAAACAAAATTTAATTTAATAAATTTTAATTTAACAATGTTAAATTAAAATTAGGGATTAAAAAATATTTTAATTTTTTAATGTTTGAAATGTTGTTTGAGAAAAGATAAATTGGGAGAAAATGCATTTTTTCTTTCAGAGACCCCTCATAGAAATCAGCAACGAAATCTGCGTTTTTACTACAAATTTTCAAGTTTCGAGATTTTAATTTTAGAGTAGGCATTTATAATTAGAGTTGGCCGGTATCGTGATTTAGAGAAACACCGGGATCGGGATTTTGGAATGGTGATCCCGATCCCGATCCCGGCTCGGGATCGGGATCATCCAAAACCGGGATCGGGATACACTTTTCGGTCTCGGGATCATAAAAATCGGGATCGGGATTCGAAAAACCCGGGATAATCCCGCCCGATCCCGACCGGGATCCCGATCCCGGCCAACTCTATTTATAATTCACAAAGTCCTCACTACAGGCGGTTTGGATATCCTAAACCGAAAAAAGTTGGATATCTGAAATTTTCGGTTTGGTTCCTGCTAATGCCAAGAAGTTCCCCGAACCCCTTGAAAGAATCTCCACCGAATATTGTCGTATATATAAACCAAAAATGTGCCGAAACAGATTTTTAAAAGATGAAGGGCACACCCCTGTTAAAACCCTTGTAATTTTTTCAAATAATTTCTACTCTTTTTAGAAATTATTCAAAAATAAAAAATAATTAAACCAAAATTGTTTACTTAATTTAGAAGAAAGGAATACATTTTAGGTATGAAATTTGTTAAAAAAATAAAATTGATAAGAGAATTATAATTAAAGAGAAATTTTCCAATGATTTTTAAAATTATTTATTTAAAACAAAAATATTTTTCAATAAAAAAATAATATTTTAAAATAATTTCCGGTGCAAAGCTATTTTTGTTTTTTTTTGAAAAAGAAACCAATAAAAACACAACAAAAAAACAAAACACATAAAAGCATGGTCAACAACATTTTTGGCTTCTTCTAAAAAAAGAAATAAATTAAAGTGAATCCTTGGAAGAAAGGAAGAGATGAGGGAATAAATAAATAAGTAGAAGAATTGAAGTAAAGGATGGGGGGGGGGATAAAGAGGGGAGAAGAGAAGGGGAATTAAAAGGGGGACAATTCATTCATCCCCTTCTTTGGCCTTATATTTTAATTTCTTCTCTCCTTTTCGTCATTACAATTTTGTTTTTTTTATTTTATTTTAGTCCAATAACCCAAGGGGATTAATTTTGCTATTCCGCACAATTTCTTAATCTTGTCAGAAAAATAAAAGTAAAAGCGTCAATCCACGTTGATAAAAAGGAAAAAATGTTTTTGTAGGTTTTCATTATTTTTGTTTCTTTTTTTCAAGTTGCGCAAGTAATAAAAAAAGTAGAAATGTGCGTAAATAGAATTAAATAAAAATTTTTTACATTAATTATTTAGAAGATATAATTTAAAAAATTATTATATGTATATTGGTAATTAAAGGATTACGCAAAAATAAATTTAATAAAAAAATTTTGAGAGAGAATTTTGATTTTAATTTTAGTGTTTACAATTACGGCCGAGACATTTTTTCGGGCTTGATTATATCGAGTCGGGCCTATACGAGTCTTTTTCGGGCCAAATATCTTAGGCCCGACTCGATCCTTCGGTTTAGACGGGCCATTTTGGCAATCCTATCTACAATAAATAAATATATTTTATAAAAATTATTTTAATTAAAAAAATAATAGGTATTTAACTCTGTTATTATTGACTAATATATTTTTAAGTACATTTATAATTTTTAAAAAATAAGAAAAAAACTATAAAATGGATGTATTTAGTTGTTGCTAAGTAAAAAAAAAATATAAATATAATTACCGTATTTCCTAAAATAGTACTCCCGGGAGTACTATTTTTCAACCCTCCTCCAAAGGGGAGTACTATTTAAGGGGGGAGTACTAATTCAGGGGGGAGTATTATTTTTCAACCTACCTCC